TTCCGTTATAATTTCCTGAAGGCTCTCCAATCAGAACATGCCTGGAGGACTGGGCTATCCCAACCACCCCAGAAGCTCCTTCATCGCCCACAATAATGATGGTTGCCACACCTATGAAGAAAACAAAGCTTCCCATGGTAAATGAAAGCTAACTGATGAGGTAACTCTTGTGACATGAGTGGTCAAGAACCAGCTTCCCAGAGAGCCCATGGAATCCTCATCCTTGGAAAATTCAGAATTTGAGTAGACAAGGCATTCAGGAATCTGATACAATGGTGAAGTCTCCTGTTCCTTGAGCAGGGTTTTCAACTTGATGACCGCCCTGGATGGTCCCTTACAAAAGAAATCATTCTATGATTTTTAGAGATCTGAACCTGATTTTGGATTTTGTATCTTTTTGTTAAAGAATTCTTTACTGACAATGTTAACTATCTGAACACAAAAGTCTACACCAGCAATGTGTAGATCTGAATGTGCTCTGATCTAAAATTTTCTTTGATTTCTTCAGACAAGGAAACAACTTAGGGAAAATGACAGTCAAAACTGTTACCAACTAGCTGCTCACAAAATATATAAGTGCTGCAGATTAAAATAGTATGAACGGACTTCCTTGAATTCTTATATGAAATGCCTCAAAACAGAATGTAATGAATTAATTCTTTACCATTTACTGGGGATATCTCTGCATCACCAGTAGAGAGGAGCTGAATGGTAAAGGTTTCATTCCCCTCCAGCAGTCCATCTTGTACCGCATGTAGAACAATCAACTTCTGGGATTCAGTCTGCATCATATAAAGACCAGAAGACATATATATATAGATATAGATGATATGGATATATAAAGTGAAACTAAACAAAGTACGCTATTATAAAAAACGCTTTTTTCTTTAACAAATCAAGTGTTAAGCATGCATATGCTAGATATATTCTGTAATATTTTTTTTAAATATGACATTTCTGCTCTGGCTGAAATATTTTCTCACAGATAAGTAAACAGTAAAAATTGTCTCTCAAACATTGTGTGACACCCCGAAAATACCCTGGCTATTTTCAACTGAATAACAATTGAAATTACTTTGAAATTGTACTCACATAGAAGTTTTCAACTTAGAGGAAACTTTCTACACAAAATCTTTTCCATGAGAAAACGCATATTCAATAGAATATATACATTATAAGGATTAACATTATTAAGATTAGATCTGTTAGGTCATAGCAAATTTCTGTCTAATCCCCCTTTTTGTCAGTCGGTAGTAGCAAATGCTAAAAATAAGAATGTAGGAAAAAAGGATGTAGGTACACAGTGTATGTGGATGAATATATAAGAAGTTCAGGAAGTAACTACATCCAGGTCTATCAGTAGAGAAAAGATAGGAAAATGATAGCAAACTGCCAAATACTGGTGGTCTTACCAAAAAAGCTATTTTCCAGCTGATTAAAAGAAACAACTGGTATGCCTATTTATTTAGTGCAAAATACTCTTGTACAGACAGAATAGATTATGCTTTATGTTAAAACACTTTTTCTTCATTAAATATTTTGACTAGATGATAAAAGACCAACATAAAACAACAGCTTGACAATATCCAATATTTCGGCTACTACAGTTTTAACCTGCCATGAAACACAAATCAAATAACACTGTCCAGTTTGAATGTCACTAAGGTGGGGTTTTTTATTTATTTTTTTAAATCTGCAATTTTTGAGCTTTCATTTATCCTTCTCACCCTTTCAGTTGTCGGATACTGCTACGGCATAAATGTTTCTGTAATCATTCTTCACACTGAGGACATTTTTTGTTCCTCTTTCTTAATCATAACAACAACTCAGATTTGAAGAGCCTGTCTTTGTGAGGATTACATTATGCTGCCTTAAAAAAAGCATGTCAACTTTGTTTTTCTGTTTGAAAAAACACTGCATACTGCTATCCCCATGGGTTCAAATTGGCGTTTTCTTAGTGTTATAACACTTAGTAAGCCCCTACTTTTCTAAACACATAACAACAACCATGCAAGCACATATGAGAAGAATAACATATTTATAAATCTAATAGTAAATAACTTATTGCAATATCAGAAATACCTCATTGAAGTGAAGGGTACCATTCAGAGGGGTCAGATCATGTCTAGCTGCTTCCTCAAGAATCCACAACACTTTAACTGCTCCTCGTCCTCCTTGGCTTCGACTCACAGTGAGTGACACAACTGCAGCAGGGTCATCAGGTGCCTGAGGTTCCTTCACTGTTACCTGATGAAGAAAAAGGAGGAGGAAGAAGGAGAGGCTGTAGCAAAAGGCATCGATACTGACTTGATATAAACAACAAAAAACATTATCAATGACAATGTAAAATAAGCAAAAGAGGGAAAATCAACAGGAAGGTAACAGACGTAAGGATTTTGTTGAATTCTGCTAGCAAAGATTAGTCACTCGTGTTATTTTTATATGCCCTATGATTCAAAACAATTACAGACAATGAGTCACAAGCAGGCACAGCACCAGCACCAGCAAAATGGAGAGCAGAAGAATCATTCACTGACAAGAACTAAGATAAGATATGTTTCATCATTTCTTCCCAAACTTTACTTTCAGTAATACAGATCATTACAAAACCATTTGAATATTCAACAGACTACCAAAAGTCCTACCTGGGATGTCCCAGATTGTCAGTATACTGCATTAAATTGATTTTGTCATGCAGAAATCTACATCTATGCAGCAACACTTTCATAGTTATTACCGTCCCACACAGCTAGATGAAGACAAGCATCAATATGCCTTTCAATGAAGTCACATCTTTTACTGCAATGAAGGCTTACCAAAATTGGCTATGTGTTAGTGACACAAACTCATTATCCAGCTTTTGCAGAAAAGAGTGCAATCCAAATCAAACTCACGTTCTTTTCTTCAAACCCAAATACTCCAACAGGGGAATCATTTGGTGGAATAGCGACAGTTACGATAGTGTCATCCCCAAGTCTTGCACCACCTGTTACCCTCACCAGGGCAATCTTGAAGATCTCAAGGAATTCAACTTCATTGTCGTCTATGATTGTAATTTCTATTTCTCCTGTGGCCTGCAGAAATTAAAAAAAAAAAAAAAAAGAGAGAAACAAAGTTTCATTTATAATATTCTGTGAATTGTTCAAAAACTCTGAAATTTAAAATAGATAAATTTTATCTAATGATAGATAAACACACACTGTTCGGCTCTACTTGTTGCTTATTGTACTTGTGTGCTATATAATAAGATAATGATATTTCAAGAGTGCTTTTTAAGTCCATCAATGTAAATCTTTTATGTTAAAACCAGCAGTCTCAGTAGAAAGTGCAGGTAGACAACATTGTACTTAACCCAAAATTCTGCTCACAAAGTATAGCCTTCAATTTGTCAAAGACCAGTTCTGTTCACTTGAAATCAAAACCCCTCGTGTACACGAACTATTGTAAGGGGCAGCACGAAATTGAAAACAGTATGTAGAACACAGCTAAGAAAACATACAGGCTTATTCTGAGAATTTATAGAGAAGACAGTTTATGTTGCAATTTTTCAGTGTGACAGGCTGTATTATTAGAAATTATGTCTTCACTTGCAGAGTTACCAAAGGCATACAACCCTACTTGGTCAATGCTTTTGAACATTCTGCTTTTCCATGCTGAAGAACTGAAGTCGGGAGCATCGTTCACATACATAAGGCCATAAATAAAATGTTTTCAATGAAAAGATGCAAATTCTGCTGGAAGAAAATATGAGAAACCCTTAAACAGGTAACCCAGAGACATTTAAACTGTCAGCAAGAGCATACCTGCCCATCTGCAAATGTCAGGTTTCCAAATGATGGTGTGAAGTCTTCAAAGCTAGTGGTTGAATGAATGGCTTCCCAATACAACGTTGCTGACCCAAACCTCCCAGCCTGTCGAACAACTGGAAGTTTCAGTACATTCTGTGGTGCTGGTACCTCGTAACCAGTAACAGCTCCAGTTATATCCTGTAAATTCAACAAGAAACTGCTGAGTGTAACAGCAAGTTATTTTTTTTGCATGTTGACTTGCAGGTTAAAAATAAACTAAGAAATATATAATGCCCTGTAAATTGGTCTGAATTTAGCACTGACCTTGCTCTGAGCAAAAGTTTGGATTAGATGACCTTTCAGAAAATTCTATGACAGCTGTTTTAGCACTTCCAGCTCCCTAACACATTTCATATATTAATTGTGAAGAATATTTTAAGAAGGAATTGTTTGTCTGGTATCTGGCCTTTTTATCCAGAACAATTTAGTGTGATAACGCCTCTTAGAACACTATCAAAACGGGTCTGAAAACACAGACTCTCCTGCTGGAATGCTACTTTAAATATTTTTCATTCAAATTTACTTACCTTTGTAACATTGAAACTAAATACTCCTCTGGCATCATCATTTTCTTCAATTGTTATTTCAGCTATTTCTAACCCAAGCCTCTTCACGCTTGGCTGACCTCCAGTGGGAGAATTGACCAGTTGCACATCAGTAATATTGACTATAAATCCTTCCTGTAATTCTGGTACATTGTCCTGTGAAAAATATTTTTAAATATCACTTTTTAAATAAAGCAGTGTAAGTTATAACACATATGGAAAGCTGAGCACTTGTAGGTTTACTGTTCAAACTTCTCAGCACTTGGCACCATAACACCAATCCCTTTCTTCACACCATATGAAAGGTGAAAGAGACTGAACTTTAGAAACTGAAGTCGGCAGTCAGATTCCAGATCTGTAAGAATGGTGGAGAGTATTGCTGGCTGTCACTTGTTTCTCCTATATATAAGAAAGGTGGCTAGATTTCAGAAACCAAGCCAGAACTTTAAAAGCAATACCTCCATTCTTAATATATTTAAAGAATATACAAATTTTTGGTGAAAAATTAACATTTCCTGAACTACAGAACAAATCTGTTCAGAGGCACATAAAGTGAAATAAATACTCTGCAAAAACCTGGAACAAGTTGAAAAAAGAGCAAGCACCCAAGAGATATGTAATTTTTTCCTTTCTCATTATTATGCGTTAATTTTGCAACTACGATATAACAGAGAATTTTTCTTTCTCAGTGATGAGTACCAAATTTCTTTTGAAAGAGATGGCTGCAATTCTTACTAATTTAGCTGACGAGGCAAGAATGCCACCGTAGCCATTTCTAGAATGCTGACTCCTACCTCTGGTAGAGAAGCAGTACCATTTTTCCTTTTTTAAAAATACATTATTAGCTAAAGTTGTGGTTAGAGTACTCACAGGCAAAATAATGACTACGACAGAAGTTATTGTTGTGTTCTCTGCCATAACAATTGTCTTCTTTTCCAGTGTATAATCCTCATTCTCTGTTGCTTGGTTGGACAGGGGGAGTTCAAAGTTTGGCGCGGTGCTCAGATGAACTGCAATCTCTCCAACAAACCCTTGTTCTCGAACAATTTGTAAAGTAAGAATAGTTGAATTCACTTGCCCTATAACAAGGAGGGGAAAAAATATCAAGACTTGATTGTTTTAACCCTTACCCTGCTTGATTTTCAGCTCACCTAATTGTACTGGAGCTCCTTGCTAGAGCTTGCTTCAATTCTGCTTAGAAACACAACAACAATTGGATAATTCAACGACTCAAGAAAGAAGCACAAATGAGTGGTGTGAACACACAGAAACACAGTGAGTACATCTGGAAAGCATTTTAAAACTGGATCTAGAGCAAGAACAAAATACAGAATATTTACAGTTTTAAATGTTTGCTACACAAATTGTTACTTCAACATTTTATTTTCCTTCAAATCTCCCCTCTTGCTAATTGGCCGGGCCGTTACACGCCTGGGAGATCGCTATTGATGCTAATGCAGAAAGCAGCACTGGAGGCAGTCACTCTGGCCGTAAATTTTAAGTTTGCTTAACTCAAATGTTGCACAAAATGAGATGCACTTCTATCAGTCAGGGTCAGAGTCCTCTTGGGAAAGTAGATTTGCAATTTTTTCCAATAAACCATGAAACACAGCATTTGGCTAGAAGTGCTGTGTTTATGACTAGAGAAATAGAAACAGGTAAAAGCAACAGGCTTTGTACTTCAGACTAGTTTCTGTTACTTGTATTAACTAGGTACTACTTCACAGTTAACACCTGTATATAACACATTAAAAACACAACATTTAGAGGCTGGAAAAGAAAACTGTGCAACAAACGAACCCTAAGAACATGGCTGGAATCTTAACTTCAAGGTGTAAAAGTTTATAATGGGCGTGCGTGTGTGTATGTAAGGAACCAACAGAATCCCTTCACAATACACTCAGCTGCTAAAAAAGGGACAACACTAATTCACATTAAATTAGAACTGGTGAGGAGGTTTTATCCACAATAATATTCTGATGGAAAAAAATGTACTTTTCGTAAATTTTATTTGTTAATTAAATTGCCCAGAAATTTCAGCTGGGCTTTTGAAGTATGAATAGCCCATCAGGCAGCTGCTGGAGAACCACCAGGTTCCATCAGATATTGCCAGAGCCACCAGCCACCTGTCCCCCTGGGCCATCAGGGAGGACACCGCAGCAGTCCTCCTCTGGCTGACCACCCGGCAAATCCTTCGCAATCTCACTCGATGCCCAGATGGAAAACTTGACATAACCCAATCAAACACGCCGCCGGCAAGCAGAAAAACACCAATTCCGTTTTCTTGAAATGGAATTCGTTTGCTTCCTTCCCTCCCCTATCATACAGAACAAACGAGCTTCCCTTTTTGACCCAATTCATGAGGAAAATCCTTCTATGTAAATGATTTTAAACAATATATTAACCCTCTTAAATGGGCAAGTATGGCTTTTTATCTAAATAGAAGTATTTTATGTATTAGTGATTTGCAACACCAGATGCCAAAATTTTAATAATTTACCCCCTAAACAAAAAATGACTGGATAATGTTGATATATGCAATGTGAAATACAGCATAAAATGTATGTCATGAAATAACATAGTTACATATTTTAAGGGATATTATTGCTACCAATTTTTATAGAAAATGCTGATATGTATAAATAATGCCTATATTATATATAATATATATTTTATATCTATAACCAATGCTATAGCTCCAACAAAGCTGATTTTCAAAAAACATATTTTTTTCCTAAGAATCAAGAAACAGACTTACCTTCTGGCTCTGTGACTTTAACAAAGAGAGAGTCCATATGCCACCCAATCACACCATGTGGAGAGTCACTGGGTAAAATGGTCAGTACAGCTCTTGCCCTTTTGGGATCGATGACAGCTCCTTTTGTGGTATCCTGAACACCCACAGTGGTAACATGGGTGAGTGTGATTTCCACTGTCTCTGAAAGCTCCGCAACACTGTCTGCGAGGATTGTCAGGGTGATTGTGGACAGGGCCTGACCTTCTGCAAATGTAATCTAAAATTTTACAGGGAGGGAAAAATAAAAGTCAAACTTCTCAGTGATGTTATGCCAACTGTTTTGTTCTATAAAACTCTGCCAATTAAAAAAATATATATATATACACACATTATATATATATATATCATAGAATCATAGAATCATAAAATCCCAGGTTAGAAGGGACCTCAAGGTCCAACCTTTCTTGGCACAGTCTGGACAAGATGGCCCAGCACCCTGCCCAGCTGAATCTTAAGTGTCCAATCATGGGAAATCCACCACTTTCCTGGGGAGACTATTCCAATGGCTGATTGTTCTCACTGTGAAAAAATTTCCTCTTGTGTCCAATTGGAATCTCCCCAGGAGTAACTTGTACTCACTACCCCACATCTTTTCCTTGTAAAAAGGTCATCTCCATCTTCTTTGTAGCCACCCTTTAAATAGCAGAACATGGTGATAAGTTCTTCCCTAAGCCTTCTTTTCTCGAGGCTGAAAAAAAACAATTGTCTCAGCCTTTCCACATATGGCAGGCTTCCCAGTCCTTTGATCATCTTGGTGGCCCTTCTCTGGATGCTCTCCAGCCTGTCCACATCTTTTTTGTATAGCGGGCACGAAAACTGAACACAGTACGCCAGGTGTGGCCTGACAAGCGCTGAGTAGAAAGGGATAATGACTTCTTCATCTCTTCTGGTGACGCCCTCGGTGATGCAGCCCAGCACCCTGTTGGCTTTCTTTGCCACAGCAGCACACTGTTCACTCATCTTGAGCTTGTTGTCCACCAGGACCCCCAGGTCACTCTCCGCGGAGCTGCTCCCCAGCGGGGTAGATCCCAGCCTGTGCTGCCCCCCTGGATTGTGTTTTCCCAGGCGCAAGACCTTACACTTGTCCTTGTTGAACTGTGTAAGGTTCTTGTTAGCCCACTCTTCCAACCTATCCAAGTCTTCCTGCAGGGTGGCTCTCTGTTCCGAAGCGTCCACTTCCCCCACTCAAGTTTAGTGTCACCAGCAAACTTAGTCAGGGTACACTCGTTCCCATCACCCAGTTCACTTATGAAGACATTAAACAGAGTTGGCCCCAATATTGATGATTTTTTTTTTTTTTTTTTCAGATAAAATGACTGAGAAATGTTTTGTCTATCTATATTCTGATTTTTACATTCAAAGGGCAGGCCACTTGACGAGGTCTCTCTCAACGAGGAAAATGTGCCTAGAAACACTTAGGCTACACCTATGCTGAAGGACAAACAGAAATTTCCAGTGAACCACATTATGTCTTTACCTTTCTGTCTCTTCCTACCTACAAACGTATGCAGGGAAATCATGTAGCATCCATCTGGAATGAAGTACTCAAGGAGTACTTTAGTAATTTCATTACGATTGTTTTGGCATCCTTGATTTCACCTCTGTTGATTTTTCTCTAAATTTATTAGCTTACTTCAGACCCACTATTTCCAGGTGTAAAGTTTATTTCCACAGTCTTTTGGCCCTTTCTTACGTCAGCTGTGGCTTGTACACCTCTGCAGCCTCAAGCCCACAAGGCATTTTGTCTTCTGCAGACTGCCACCAGGTGGAGACCATCGACTTAAAGAACCTGGTGTCTGCCGGTCTGAAGGCATACCAAGAGCTTTGGCTAGCAGGAAACACTGGATTTTAACAAGGGTAAAGAGCCTCATAACAGAGAAACAGGGACTTGTTATATCCTCCTGCGCCACTGAAGCTCTCAGTCGTATTGACAAGGTCAGGATGAAGAGCAAACACTCCAGATTCCCACCCATGCAAATGATTTGACACAGTAGCTGGATCTCACAGCAGGAAGAAAGGAAGATAGGAACAAGATACTCCAGATACGCATCTCTAGTGCCCTGGCAGCATTGCAGTGTCTGGTTCTAGAAGAGCGAGAGTGATGCCATGGTATTATGTACCAGCCAGAAGTGCAAACAGCCAGAACCACAGGCAAGGACCAGGAAGCAGGAGTTAACAGAAGAGTGGGGCAATCTCACATGTACTATCCTTCTCCCTCAGTATCTCTGCACCTATTGTCTGAGAAAACGGTCAGTGCTTCCCTAATATCAGTGATGTTATTACATACCATTCCTGAAGCTGGAAATACATCACTTATGCTCCCATTAGCGATCCACTCTACTGTAACACGTCCATATGCTCCTATTAAACGTTCAATATTCAAGGTGATTAAGCTGTCCTGTTCCATTTCTTCGACTTGCTTAAACAAAGAACTCTGGAAAACATAAAGTAGCAGAACCATAACGTTTTCTTATAAAGAAAAGTTTATTTAGGGATCTGGGTATTCATTGGGGACCACTGACGTTGGGCAACAATAAGTTGATCAACTATTAAGTAGCTAATTGAATGTTCATTGATTAAATTTACATGTCCTAATTTTCAGAGGCATGCAATACTCGCAGGTTTCATGGACGTAAGAATTTAAAACGTCAGGCCTCTTTATCGTAAGTCAAAACCGTCAACAGTTTTGTTTGGATATTTTGTTGGTGGTTTTTTTTAGTATAGTATTTTATGTTCAAACTGTATGAAGCAGATAACAAGTGGACCTTCAAGAGAGACATATTTTTACTGCTGCTACTTTACTGTTATTCACCCTCCTCACACAAGTTCAGATGCAGTGTTTCTTTTCAGTAAGAACTCTTTTGTGTTTTATATCTTCAGTATGCATTTACTATATACCTGTCTAGATAACTTCTACAGTGTTTGATGATTTAAGAATTAACCACACCAAATAATGCCCTCAGTCAGACATTTTTTCCAAATAAACTATTTTGTTCTGGCAGACTGGCTCGTCTTGTGACTTAACTCAATTGGTATGTTTTTCAGAGGAAAAGTATCTTCAAATTTGGTTACTTGATTCCCTTGATTAACCAAGCAGTAGCAACTCTACAATGATATCACATATGACATCTGAAAACTGAATGTTGAGGTTGTTGCAAAACCAAGCTGATAAACTAATCCTAAGATAATTGTAAGGGGATTATAAAAATCTTACAATAGGGACAGATGGTGGAACTGATTTTCTATCACCTTGTGTTCTGCATAATCACATAGCAATGCTAAACGGGTGTTAAAAAGCTTCTAACTCAGGTTGCTACAAGACTTTAGAAAAACAATCCTGTCATATGCTCCGGTTTACAGTTTTAGTATGTTTGTGTTCCATTACTCTGAAATTATTTATACATATTTTAATGATTTACCTTTGTAGTTTTACCTGAGCAAATGCAATGACTCCGTAGGCATTGTCATTGGAAGGAATAATTATGGTAACAAAACCATGAACACCAATCTCTGCACCTCCCTTAGGGTTTTTCAACCACACTTTGAAGCATTCTTCCTCCTCTGGGATGTTGTCATCCAGAATATTTACTGCTATCACAGCTTCCATATCCCCAGGCTCAAATATCAATTCACCTGAACTAGCATAAAAACACACACATCAAATAATTATAAACTGAGGATAGCTGATTAATGAACTTTGAAAGCACTGCTGTAAATTTAACAAGCATTTTTGGAGCTGGAATTATTATTTATATTCCTGAGGAAGTAATTGAGGTTTAAAGGTTGTGGGGTTTTTGGTTTTAGTTTTGTTGGTTTTTTAAATTACAATAGATCACAGAGTAACTAAAATTAATTATGAAAGTAATTTAATCTATCCTAAATAAAAGCTTGAAAAAAAAAAAAAATCAAGTCATAACTGCAAGTCCTTTCTTGCCATGTTTTAAAGGCAGTTGTGAGGCTGTTTGACTTCAGGTTATCTTAAACCTCCTGTGAAAAATTCTCTTTAGTGTTAATAAGCACACCACAAGCAGGAGTACATAATGCGCTCCACTGTAACAAAAACAGTATCACAGAAAGAAAGGAATGCAAGAGCTGGGAGAAAGTTATATAAAACAAGAAACCCTACCTAGGTATAAAATCTGACTGGTTGGAGATAGTGGTCAGCTCATAAATCTGTGAGTTGGACTCTACAGACAGAGCAATCAGGCTCTTGCTGGAGTTCAGAGACCTTGCAGTAGCTGAAGTCATATGATCCGCGTATGGGCCTTCCAGCATGACAGAGAACTGGTTCCCTTCAGAGTTCCAAGAATACAGCGCTGTTGTGTCCTTACCAGATAGGAGGATGTGAACTATGTTGAGCAAGGAGGAGAAAAAAGAAATATTTGGTGATACATTTGAGATTTCTCCTTGTAATGCCTGAAATGCCTTTGGCAGCATAATGATTATAGTAACTTCTAAAGTCTGATAAATAATTAAAAAAAAAAAAAAAAAAAAAAAAAGCATATATTTCTGCAATTCCAGCGTTATAAACTAGGCTTTGGACAAATATTGACACTTAAGTCTTACCTAAACCTGAAGGAGGCATGAAAACATGGATGTTTCTTACAGCGCAGACTGGAAGAGACTGAAAGTGTCTAAAGGTAGACTGCCCTGTTTCCCAGATGAAAATTTCAGAAGAATTTCCAGATTCTACAAAGGAGCAAAATAACAAAACTTACATTATTTTGCTGTCTGTTAGTTAAATCACCCACTGATGGCCATTCAAAAGGCAGTTTGGCAACTTTAATTACGGAGTGAGAACAACTATCGTATCTTCTTTTTTACTTGATGCATAACTCCACAGTATGACTGACCTCAGTGGGGTGATTTAACCACTGACATCATTTAAGGGCTTTTCTGCACACATTCACATAGAAGAACACTAAGACTGCCAGCAGACAACAGCCAATTGCAAAGAAACCTATGGACTGTAGCATAAACTTTTCAATAGGCATAGGGATGCAGTCATAAAACAATGACTAAAATGTCATACTTGTAATAAAAAAACCACACGTACTTTGCTGACCAATGATCTTAGCACATCACAAAGCTCAGAAATGCTTAGAAAGGGTGCAGTCAGCAGCTAGATGAATAGTTATTATTTCCTGTTGTTCTTGGGGAAAAAATTGATGAGTTTCTTAAGTATTTGAGAGCAAACACAATGCTTTTCTTTTCTGAGGGACATAACCCCTATCTAAGCTCCTTTACCACAAACGCCTTTCCTACCAAACAAGCCAGCATACACTCAGCAAAATCAGTGTTTATCTTCTGCTAAATACCTTTTGCAGTAATTAAATATATATCAGATCCAGAAATCCAGGCCTCCATATGTTTTATTTCTTTGGCTGGTAATTGATGAAGATTCCTAAACTCATTATTCAACCAGTGGTACAAGAGCATGTCTTGACTGGCATTCGACAGAGAAACTAACAGGTACATAACGCCTCCTCTGGAAAACAAGGCTATGTTCAGAGCTTTGTGAAGTGGAAGTTGATGATGCAGCACAAATATATCTTTATTCCACTGGAAAACCTGTGGAAATATGATTTTTTTTTTTTTTATCATATATTCATACTTAGCACCAAGAGAAAGTAAGTGTCACGATGAAAAACTGGTAAGACTTATAGTGAACCGAATTCCTCATTCCTAAGGTGGACCTTACAGTAAGGTAGAAGTACAGCAGTAAGTAACCACCGTACTGCAAGGAGCTGTGCTTGTTCTCCAGATAAATGGGTTTATGGTCAGAAGCTATTTCTGTCCTTACAGGTGTTTCACATGTTAGATTTCAAAACAAAAATAACACTAGCAGCAAAATCAAACCAAATGTAAATTACGTGTTAATATAGAGAGTATTGCTACATTTAAAAAAGCCTAGAATTTTAAGTCTTATAAATCCATAATAGAAACATAAGTAATTTTTCAGAAAGCTATACTTACAGGTTTTTTATTATCCCTTCATATTTTTGACTCGAACCCAACCAAACTACCCACATGAAAGACAGGGAAGACAAGTGTATTCTAACCTGGATGGAACTGGAACTGGAACTGGTTGCATCAGTCACAAAAATCAAATAGTCTTCTTCATCCACAGCAAAATGTTTCACATGTCTGGTATCCAGAATTGAGAGTGTCTGTATCTGTGAGGGAAATATGATAAAAACGGTGTTTGGAAGTCACTTCAAGTGACAAGTTTGTACATATATGCACATTTTTATTAAATCACAAATTTATATATAAAACTACATATAAAATATAAAAAAATTACATACATCTAATTTTATGTTTTTAAAAAGGTGTCTACATATGTGGGGTTAATTTAAAAAATTAATATAACATCATACATTTTTTAGAAAATGTTCTATGACTTGATTGCTCAACAATTTCTTTCCTCACTTCCCAGGTCATTCTCCCCCACCCCCAAAATATAAACACAAAACCACAGTAGACAACCAGCTGTGAAAACTTACATCACTGAAGTCCTCCAGAGTGTCAGGGCCCCAAACTAGCTGAGCACAGTGTGCTTTTTTCTCAAACATGGTTGGAGCGGAGGGCCTCCTGAGGTTCTTTCCAACCCCACTATTTTATGTTTTTTTAAGTAAAACAGATTTACCTTCAACAGTCTGTGTGCAGGCACGAATGCATACACGCTGGTGTTGGAAGGTCCCTGCGGGGATCCTCCGTGAGTAATCACAAGGTAGGGAGAGGCACGGATTTGGAAAGACACACAGCTCTTAGGATTCCACATACTGAAATTCTGAGAAAGGAATAAAAAAAGTAAAATTGAGGCTTAAATTCTTCATTAAGTAGTGTGCTTCGTGTTTGCAAGCAAACATTTACCTCGACGGGAACAAAAACTCCTTTCCACTGGTAGACAGTAGAGAATGTAGCTGGAGGCGACCGTAACAAAACACCGTACAGGATTTCTCCTGATGTAAAGAAACACCAGCTAGACGCTGACTCCTCCACAAAACTTTGCAAGACAGAGAGGACACTGATACTACCCCCTGCAATATAGTAAAAGAAATACTGTTTATTCTTGAGGTCTTTTTCAATGACATTTTCATGATTTACTTGCCAAAACCAGACCTAGTATCAGAAATTCTATGATTGTATGAAATGTTGACATTGTCTCTAAATAGTTGATATAAGCGTAAAGGCACAGAAATGTTGTAGTACTGAGCATGTAATGAGAGTTAAGTAATAAATATATTCTTTGTATATTACAAATACGTATGGAAGATGCACAGGCAATTTGAGTCTGATGCAGAATGATTCAATTTGGCATTTAGCTAGTGAGAATATTAGCTACATAGCAAATAGTGAGAAGACTGACAAAGAAACTACAAAATGTATGTGTTTGTCCTCCTTCTCCCCATCATCACAACAAGCAGCCACGGCACTAAGATTCTTAGAGAGCCTAAGCGGTTCGTCTGGCTTACAGAAAAAGTACTGCCTTGTCAGGGCTGAACTCCAAGACCTAAAACCCCAGTCCCACACATCTGTCAGACGAGCTGCTGAGCCAGAGAGGGTATTCATCCAAATCAGGCATTTCCTCCTGTGCTTTGTTATTTTCAGTCGGGACTAGTGAGCAGCTAGACACACATCAGTACTGAAACAAAAAACCACTTAGAACAGAGATGGGAACAAGCGGGTAGAGGCAGAAGGATGGCTTCCTTCAGCAGCAGTGCTAACTTGGACCAGATTAAAGTGTTCATGAAATTACAGCCCGAGACTCCCACAAATGCATCTCACCAGGCACACTGGGAGATAGGACATACAACGTGTGGCAGCATTTTTTCAGGCTAGGTCCGGGCTTATGTAAAGTTTGCCTCATACTGTGTTAGAAAAATCTGAAACTGCAAGTAGTAAAAAACAGATTTTAATAAACAAAAGTCTAGTGATAGTTATGTTCATATAAGCATCAAGAAGAGAAACTCTGGCAGAAGTGACTGATGACAAGGTGATTCTTTAGCAGCTAAGGTCTTTTATGTAATTAATTTTGACATGCTCAGAAAAATATTAATCAACGTGATCGGGTCTGAATACATCAATTTACATTCCAAAGTTACACCTCCTGTATGTTTGGCTAAGTCTCCTGCTGCCTCCACTCTGACAAAAGCAGGGGATGCTCTCAATAAAGTGAACGTACTGATGCCAAATGCAGTGTCTGACAATGTCTCCCACTCCACACTCACAGACACGTTGAGACCATTACTCCGTGAAACTCTCAAATAAACCGTAGTGTTGGCTTCTTCAATTATGAGGAAATTTGTCCTAAATGTGGGAATTGCGAGAATAAAGAAAAAATGTATTATTTTTACAATATATGGAAAAGATTCTTACCATACAATCCCAGGGCAGAACTTACAATAGAAATAAAAAGAAAATATTAATCACTGGTTTTGCTATCTGACAGACTGATACCTACATTAATTAAGGTTGTCCAGTGTTTCTTACCATAAGACCTTGGCAAAATCATAGGAAATTCAACAAAATCTTAAACCAGCCTGAAATTTAACTCACCAGCTGTACAGTTTAAGCTGAATGATTTTTGAAAATGTCATTCCATATGGTTCATTTACTTCTGAAAAAGCACCCTGAGGGAAAGTGTATTTTACACAAGCTTAAAAACAAAAATAAGTTATAAAGTGTATCTACTCCCTGGGCACTGATCTGGGGTTTGGAGCTCTTAACATGGATTACTGTTAGTGGAATGTTTAGGGACTAATGAGGTATTGTTTTATGAAAAAGTCCACAGAGAAACTGACATTTCTAATGATGAATAGAACATTTTAAGTGTTCTTCTGTTCTTTTGTATATCAGTATTACTATTTGACAGATAACGTACTTTTCATAATTACAACCGTTTTACAATTGGAGTGCTGAATTTCTTTAAAGAGGTTCATAAAAAAAAATGTAGAGAGATACCATCTTTATTGAATATGAAAAATCTCCTTTTAACTGAATCGGTGTTTAGTACCTATTTGTAACTGGATAGATGCTGAAAAGCCCCAGTGGAGCCTGGTTCTGTAATACTGTAATCATAGTTTGCACTCTCGTGCCTAGTCTGGCTCCTCCAGTTGGATTGAACAGGGTGACAATAAAGTGCTCGTCCATTTCTGGTTCTTCATCCAGTATTGCAGAAATATGCAGTGTCTGACAAGAAAACAAGCACAGAAAGTCGTTGAGACTTCACAGCTAAGGATGACACAACCCCATCAGACCGCCCTGGATAGCACAGCAGGAGAGCAGTGGCTCTTGAGACTGGGGAGGGCAGAAGTGAGGCAAGGATGGTTCGGCCTGAGGTTCTAAAGCCATCTGTCTGGTGACCTCCATTGGCGCAACACTAGGACAAGCATATCCACTCCCCACCCCCGCTTCTCCTTAATTCTCCTCTCATCCTAAGACCCTCTGAAATTTAATAGTTTTTGATCCTTTTTTCATACTTTGGTTCTCTACTTATTCCACACATTCCTTGGTATTTCATAGTCCCCATACAGCTATCCGATCCCCTAACGCAGCTCAGTCAAGTTGGTTTTAATTTACTTTGGTTGGCAACTAAGCTAGCTCCAGGGCAACAGGGTCATTCCACCACTGATGCTGGGAAGAATGAAAGAAAAAAGTCAAGAATAGAGGGATATTTGAAATACTCCCTCTCTTCTTGATGAGTCTTTCCCTCTACTGCACCACTGTGGATGAGAATAGGATCTTCTCAAGGTGGTCTCAAATTAGCAGAGAATTATCTAGCAAGAGGTAGGTGTTTTCACTGTCACTTGGGGCTCACTGCCTTCCCACTACCCAAACAGGCAAAAGTACAGGGGTACACATAGCTTTTTTGCAGAAAAAAAGTTAGCAATGATGGGTCTGGAACTAAACTGGAGCTTACAACCTTTTAGGTTCCTGTTTACTTCTGCAATAAACCATATTTAGAGACTGTTTTAAGAAGTTTAAGAAGCTTTGACTTCTGACAGACCTGCTACACTGGCCATCACTGTGGTTTCAAATGCATTTAATGTTCAGAAATTGAAAACCAGCGTTTCCAGTAAGGTTTGTTTCAGATTCTACCCCACTACCCATCGTATACTAACCCGTTACCGACCCTAGCTTCACTGACAAAATAAAACGAAAAAAACAAACTGCCATTAAAGTTCAGAAGGGTCAGGATTTCACAAACTTAAGCTAGCTCATTTTCTAGCTGACATTCTTGTGGGGAAAGTACAGAGGCAGTAAGCTTAATACTCCTAGAAGAATAAGTAATTTTCTATGCCTAAGACTCTGAGAGCTGTTTAGGTTTTGCATGTCACAGCATGCTCTGTTCAGCTCACACCAGCTGAAGTGTCACATTACAGAATGGGATTTTAACTTTAACCGTAACTATTTACACTTGTAAATTACCACTTCATTTCAAAGTTTGTGTTTCAGCTACATGCTGAATACATACAAAGAAATGTTCCAATGCATGCATAAACATTATATACCCATTATATTGTTTTCACTCTATGTCAGGTATTACAAAGAGAGAAATATATGCAGAAAAGCACATTTAATTTTTATGCACTCCAACTCTCATGACTCAATTTGCTCTGAAAAGGAAAACATTAAAAAAAACCCAAAAAACCAGATATTTCTGAAATCTTTCTAATAATTTCAGAAAAGCTTTCTTCACTTCTTTCATAATAACTATCATATTACCTTGAATCTGACTCCCTCTTCCAGCACAATATATCCTTGAGAAGGGGTCAAATCCACCGCTGGCTCTGAAGAATTAATTTCACTTACAAGATACTGAACAGTCACAGTGCCAAATATCCCCTGAGGAGGTTCTCTAATAATATTTAATACTGCAACACTTTCCATCAAATGGAGAGCTGTTTGCTCTCTTAGGAAGAAGTGATCACTGTTATTGAATGACAAAATTCCATGGCCATCATCACTGGCAAGTATAGTAATTGTGGCTTTTGAGAAAAAAATAATGGAAATATTCTTTAATAAACATAGCAAAATCTAATTGTACACATATAGAAATAAAATACATATAAACACAAATCCAGTCTTCCTCTAGAGTATAAATAATTCTTTTATGTGCATGACATTACTTGAAGAGAATATCTAAGTACTCTATCTAGGAAGATTTCTAGACAGGAAGAATCTAGATTCTCATATTAAAAAGCTCACATTAGTACTTTTTGATTCCTTATTTTACACATTATCTTGTTAACTGCATAGATTTCATACAGGTGTTTAAGAACTTTCCAAAGGAGTATAAAGATCTACCATAGCAGGGCAACAGCGTTTTATGAAATATGATTATTCAGAAGAATGAAATTAAAATGACTGACATACAATTCCAAAGAATGTGAACATCAAAAGTTTTACCTGTTGTGTTCTCCCCTAATTCCAGCCCCAGAGAAGGATTTGTTAAAATTAACTGGAACTTCTCATCACCTTCAGGAATATCATCATCAAAAATTGTAACAACAACAGATTTATTCCTTTCTCCATCAGCAAAAAAAAGAGTCTAGCATTGAAACACAGAAAGCATTGCATACTTAACACATGTTCATACACACAGAATTTTTCAACTCAGGTAAACAGAATTGTCTTAAATAGGAAGCAAGAAGAGTTATAATCCTATCTCCCTTATAAACTGATTGAAACAGAAGTTTAAAAGTTAAGCACGTTATAGAATGAGGACAAACAAAAGCAATTTACTTTGAAAGTTCTGTTGTAAAAAATATGAAACCTTATATGAAATTTTATATGCTCCTGTCTAAACAAAACTGTATTTGAGATAGAAGTTTACATTGTGTCATACATTTAAAAATACTTCAGTATTTAAAAAGAAAGAAACAGTAAAATAGGATGACTAATTTTATCTTTGTGTTCAGATGACCAAAGCAATTGAAACAAGTTGAAAAATCTAGCTGCACTACTGATCATTCTGCAGAATAAACAAGCCGACATTCTTTTGAGGAAGCTGAAGAAATGAAAAGTACTAGATTTAGAATTTGCTTCTTACCCTTGAGGTCACATTAAAATCCAAACCCAGCTGTGCCTCCAAATTTTGGGCATAAAAAAATACAGACACATTGCCATATGATCCTCTGTTTCGGAATGCCATTATTGTCAGATTCCCGTGAGATTCATCAACTTCAAAACTAAAACAAAAAGCAAGAAAAATTCTCAGCGCTCACTGAGCATGTTCTTTTGAATAACACAGTAGGTATAGTTGTTTTGTTTTCACTGCAAATCATCCCCTCTGCTTTATAAGCAACAGGCATCACTATGGTATCAGCATCATTACAATTGCCTAATACAACCTTTTTAACTTTGTTTCTTATCTACATGGAACTAAGCTATGGGAGGTTGTGCTTTTTTCCTGCTTATTAGTGGCAGATTAAGCCTGTCTATGTCCATGGATACCTTCCTGGAAATTAGTCAGACAAAAAGATCTAGGAGATGCCAGTGTGTGTGCTCACATGGGTGCAGAGGCTGGAACACTGGATGGAGGCTGGGGGATGGACCCAAGGGCACAATACAAAAGGATAGCTGTGAAAGTAATTACAGGGTAATAAAAGTTTTCTGGGTAAACATCCTGTAAATGTTGGTTTTCAGTGCGGGAATTGCACTTTCCAGTTCTACTGAATTGAATGATCTCAAGGATCTGGCCCTATTTTTAACAGGAGTTTTTACTGTTAAGTGGTAATGAAAATAATTGTGCAACACCTATCGCTAACTGACACTGAGAGCTCTTGAAGGAGACAAGACTTACTTGGTTCTTTCCCATTCAATTACTCCGCTAACGCCATCATTAGCATCAATAATAATTTGAGAAGCTAAACCTTCCACGTCTAAAATGGAAAACAGAATGACAAGAATGAAACAACAATAAGGTCAATTTTCCTTATTTTCAAGAATAAAAAAAGCATTTCTTAAATCCCTACTAATTTTCTAGAAAAAATACATAATATTCTGTTCCCAAAATGTGGAGGAGAAAATAGCAGTGGGCAAGATAATTGGAAAGGCTGAAAGAAGATCTGTCCTTACTACCTTACTATTAAACTGCAACACAGGGCCTTGAATTATACATTTAATAGCATACAAAAGAGACTAAAGAAAATTTGGAAAGCAAAACACAGCACAGAAAAAAATAGGAAATACCCAAAGCAAGATTTGTCATGGAGTCTTAATTTATCTTCATTGTGAGTGTTTATTATGATGACACTCAGCATTTCATAAAATGTGCCATTCTGAATATGGGAGAGAAAATGCATAAGAAAGAATAATAAATGATCTCATCTCCTCTTCATATTTCAGCGCCTGATCATAAGTCTTACTGGTACACACCTCAGATTCTGCTACAAATACATAATCATTAATTTCTTTGTAGGCTGTTTATGTACCGTAACATTCTATTGATCCATAAAGGCATTACGCATTGTCACAATAACTCTGAAAGATTATTGTGTGTGTTGCACTGTGAAAACACTGAATAACAGATTAATTCTAGAGATTTCCACTAATTTCAGGGACCAGAACTTGACAGTCAGAACTTGATTCTTCCAACAAAACAGTGCCTTAATTTGTTCATGCAACAGCACCACATGACTACTTTTATTTACTTCAGCTTAGTAAGACTTAAAAAGAAATGAAGAAAAGAATGACAATTTCTACAATCAAACTGACTCCAACGAATCTGTAAATATACTATATTTAGATCAATAGGAAAGACTTCTATCAGTTCAGATAAGACTGAACAAAAGTCAAAGGTCATTGCCATGAATCCAAACCTGTCACTACGGGGTAGTGATGAAGATGAGCAGTAGCTGCAAAACCTCTACATGCACAGCAGAAACGATACTGAGGTTCAGAAATCCAGAGGGAGTGCTAGCGATTACAGAGCTTGCAGCTTCACTCCGCACCCTCGTTTTCCCTTGTCGCACCATAGTCAGATCAGTTCGCACAGCGTCTGCAATACTTTGCTTCCAACATCACAACTCTCGTTTCATGTCTGGCTTCCTTCCCCTCCCCTGACAGCCCCCTGCCCACCTCCCCCAGCTTAGCTTTTCCTTCTGTCCATTAGGTTTATTCCTTTTCCTTTCAACACTCTCAGCTGTTGATGATTTTCCCTTTTCTTAATTCCTTGCATTTTCCTATTTGAGTCAGGCTCTTTCTTCCATGTGTTCTAGAAGATGGGGGGCAAGAGGAGCATGGAGAAAACAACAGGACTGCCCTTACGCTCGTTGTTTCTGCTCCTTATCAGTGAAGACTGCGATCAGAAGTAAAGGTCTCTTAAGTTCAGTGTGTTCTACTCGACACCACAGACACACCAGGTTTACTCCCCATATTGCGCGCACATGGCTACGGAAGGAGCAGCACACGCGATACATTCCACATGTGTCGGACTGACTGCACATGCCTGTACCATGCTCAGAACACACACCTCTTTTTGATATTAGGCACCTCCTAGAAATACTGCTACTACCTTGTATAAGTTACGGGGCTGCTAGATATCCTAAACAAATGCATTGCACCAACAGGGAGTTAAATTGTCAATCTTAACAAATCAAAATATATCAAGAGGGGAAACAAGACTAGGGATAGTCTGATATCAGACAGTCTGATCAGAACACTCTGATAACAGAATTCCTTGTTTACACTTTACAATAAGGATAAGTTTTTGCCTCATGGGATAAAACGATTATCTGTTCATCCCAAGTACGTTTAACCCAATGCAGATATCACAGAAGGGTTGAATGGTCACGATTCAAAGAGTTGCCAATCGTTTACAACAGAAGGTGAGACTGTACAGCACTGGGCACAACTCAGTTTAGAAAAATCCTTTGTACTTTTGTGTTACTCTTTTTATGTTTTAGATTTGACTACTCACAGCTCAGTCTCTACAAATCAGCAATGAGTCTTGCAAGTTACCTTTCAATCTGTAACGAATTAACTCTGTCACCTCTATAGGCATGCAAAGAAAAGGGAAAAGAGTCGAAGAAGATGTTAGAAATAATCAGTATAGCTAGTCTCTAGCACCACAGGATAATCCAACCGTCCTTAAAGCCAATGGCAGCTATGCTACTGAATTCAGAAGCAGAATGAGGAACTAACAAAGCATATGATAAACGAAGTTCACCGGAAGAGGAGGAAAACCATAGGATATGACTCCTAAAAGTAAATCTGAGAGAGAGTAACAAAAAGAGACTTTTAAAACAGTGAACAAAGTAATGACATAAAGTTTTTTTTTTTTGACATTTTGGTTTCCATTATGTACTTGGAAATGAAAATCAGATTAACACACTGCCAATATAACTTTTCAGATAATTGTGCTCTCCAACTGTAAATTACTATCTCCTCTATGAAAATTGCCTTCAAAAAGCTTAAAAAAGTAAGAAACAAGTGTAATAATGAATAAGCTTGGTTTTCTACAATGTTTCTTTCAGAATACTCTGTCTCATATTGGCATACTGGGCAAGTGGAAAAATGATAATATACCACAGTAATATGTTCTGCATGCAATTCATATAAAAGTAAAGCCAAAGACAACTCTGTATAAATTTTTTTACCCAGCCGAGGTGGGGATGAAGTTGAATGGTTCATGATGAGCTCCACTGAAGTTAAATTAACCAAGAAGAATTCTTGCACTTCTGGTACATCATCCTGCAAAACACAAATTCAGTACATCCTCTTTTCATTTTCCATTAAGTCTCTCACAGAAGCCACCAAAAAGCAACACATCAAAAGTGTGGAAGAAAGTTTTTGTTGGTTTTTTTTTATTATTATTTTCCTGAAATACTGTTATTGGGTGTAAAAATTATTAACTTGAATGAATTATGAAGTAAGACATTATATTTCATGAAAAAGACTCCGTGGTGATACTAAACTACTTTTGTGAATTAATTTCTGCCCAATCTTAAAGGCATAAACCCCAACCATTGAGAAAGTAAGAGCCTGTAGCAGGCAATGAATTACACTGTTCTGTATATCAGATACTAAAGTCTTAATGTGACACCTAAATTTCATTTATGTATAGGTAAATCTGTCTGTTTATTTGTCCTTCTGTGATTTTAAGATTAAGAAAAAAAACCATCTTTCTAAATTACAATGAAATATATAGCTTCAAGAAACATATAGTTTGCAACCTTTACGTTCCAAAATATTCCTCTTCTGATGTCACACAGATCAGTTTAGAAAGAAAGGGTTTAGAGTTTACCTCTAGAATAGTAATATTTATGGCAGCTGATGTTTCTCCTTCTTCTAAAATTAGTGACCCAGAAACAGCTATATAATCAGCTCCTGGTTCAGCCAAGGTCCCTTCTGTCTGGTTACTTAAGGTGAGCAATCCTGGAACTGTGGCATACGTAACATTGATAGCACCTGTTTAATTTGTGACAAAAAAAAAAAAATAAATTGTTTTTTCAATTCTTATGTAATGCTTACTGGAACAGAAAAATGAAAGAGATCAAATGCTCATCCACAAACTGAAAAGCCTAACTGCAAAACAGAAGGATTAAAAGATTAATCTGGAGCCAGTGGAACTTTGTGGTTGTTTTTAATGTGCTTCCAGCCCAGCCTTTGGCGATTTGTGCAACATCACAGGACTTAAAAAGCACTAGGGCCAAAAGTATTCAGATATTTGAGGCGCTGTGGACTGCAAATATTACACTGCTGAAGTACTACCTATGACACCTAATATATTATTAATATCAGGTTTGGTGCCAAGGGAAGTAGAACAGTTCAGGAACGACCGATATCTAAGAAAGGCTCCAAAGACAGTGCTGGGAAATGCAACTTAATAAATCTAGTTTCCTTCCCAGGCAGACTGACATAGATGTCAATAAAGAATAAAATTAAGGGGACACACTGATAAATGTCACCAAGGGAAAAAGTTAGGCAAATTTTTTTTATAATAAAGCCACGTCTCATTTATCCGCCAAGGTAAGCCAAGTTGCAAATTTAAAGAGTGATCCTGGAGATAAAATGACAGATGAAATTCAATGCTACTCCGTATGAAATACAATATTAGGTATAACAGAATCTTAGTTTTAATAAATAATGATGGACTTTAAGTAAGAGATCTTACATTTACTATGGTTATTTATCTTAAAGCATTAGTTTCCTGAGTAGTGTTTCAAAAGTAAGTTCGATACTGATTGATATTGAAAAAGAAATGGGAAAACATAGAAATGCCATTAAAATGCCTCCACAAATCTGTGGTGTATCTAGATCTTGAATATTCATTGCAACTGGTCACTTCTCTTCAAAAGAGATACAACAAAAGAAACTAAGAGGGGTTATCACTGAGATCTAAATACAGTCTGAAAAGGGAAATAGGAAATGATTACACCTCACCTCACAATATAAGTTTAAATTCTCAGGCAACAAACACAAGAAAATACTTTTGCATACAGTAAGTTATTGGATTCTGGAATTAAGTATTAATTTCATGGATGTTAAAAGACAAATTGATTTAAAAAGGAATAAGGAATTCTCAGAGGAGACATAAACTGAATTCAGTGGTATGCATGCAGCTTTTTCCATGGGACATTCCTAACTTGCCAACTTCTGGAAGTTTAGACGGGAAAGATGTAGGAATGATCATTTCATACAAGCTCTTTTTCTCATATGTTTTTTTCTTTCTTCTGGAGAGACTAACACTTTGAGACAGATTCACTAGACGTAGAGGCAGTAACCCTAACAGCCAACTAGTTATGTCACAGCTCCCGGACTCCTTGCTGTGGAAATGAGGGCTGTGGCTCCAGTTTTAACTAAAACTTAGTTTCCAAGCCTGCCGTAAGAAGCCTAGAAGTTCTGAAAATACCAGCTGTATCCAAGATTTTTCAAAATTTCCAGCCTCCCTGTCATGGCTTTCATTTGCCTAACGATTACCAAAACAGAACTACTCTTCTCTTGTTATTATACGAACCTAAAGATCCAAATTCTCTGTTAATAAAAAGCTGAACTGTTTTGTTTTCCTCTGGAATTACAACTACCCTGGATGGGGAAGCAAAATTCAAGACTCCATGTGGTTCATCACTAGCTTCTACTGTCAGAACAGCTTCATATCCTTGACTATCCAAAATAGCAGCACCTGAAGAAGAAACACCTGCAGAAGAAACAATGGACTACAGTGAATAAAGTGTTATGCAAAAATTTTTTTTTGTCTTATATTACTGCTATTATTACATCTAAATGATAGTCGGCAACAGTCAAATGAAATGAAACCAAATGCATGTGAAGTTTATGGATGGTACGAAATGTATGTATATTTACATTCTGTAACAAATACAGGAACATACGACCACGACAGAAATTTTATGCATACTAAGTACAGAGTCACAAAAACGTATTAAGAAATGAGAAAACTTAATGGGCCAGTGCCAAATATCAACTTCCCTAAACTTCCTCTACTGCAAAAGGAAAGAGAAGGTTTTCCCAAGAATTAACTCCGAAAGTTAAAGTTACATTCAACTTCTCAATCATTCCATTAAGAAATTACTCCCTTTTCCAAGTATTGACAAAATGAATAATTGTTGGAGTATTAATTTATGCTTATCCTGATGGATTACAAAAGTCAACAAATGATTTTGGCAAGTTGGTAAGGCACCTAGGAGCAACACAATCCATGTCAACTTAGTTTGGTGTTCAGAAGTTAACGACAAAGGGTATTTGAGAAGGGATGCAGTTTCATGCTTCTTTTCTCATTATAATCTGAATGGCACGAATAAAATATTCTGACCTCCTTGAATTCAGAGAGATCAAAGTCAGCTTGCGGCATTACAAGATTGCTTTAAAAGATAAAAATATCTGCTTATTTCATGGCAACTGTATCCAGAACATCTTAGCAAGCTCACGTTTGTATTCAGTTAAAGGGAAGCAAATGACCACTGAATTAAACAGGCAGAGTTAAATAAGGTTTCACACCAATTAAGGAAAACTGCAAAGACACTGCGGGTTTTATATATATATATACACACATACACACGCGTAAGGATCAAGTCTGTTTCAACAAAATGTGAATGAACTTTGTGTAGTTAACTCCAGTTGCAGTATGCTTAGTTCTACACTTCCAAAACGGATTAATACATATAAAAATATTACACTACTAAATGGTAGTTTTCAGATACAGCAAGCTATAGTTCTGCATTACCTTCTGTTTTGATGTTGTATAGGATTATCTGGTATTCTTCTTTTTCTTCAGGAATATGATCATCCAGCAAGTGAACATGCAATGTTGTATTCAATGCCTCCTATTCATTTTATTGATAAATTGATTAGTCATTATTGTATAAAATACAAGTGATACCACTGTATCATACGTATTTGGAACAACACCTTTAAGAAATGTAAAGTATCAAAAACTACAAAATCCCTCCAGTTCAGAATTCCAAGAGTAAAGGAGCAAGTAAACAATCATCCAGAAACAAAGACTGCTATAAAAGCACACTTGTTTTCTCAACTCAGTTCTAATTACAATATTCTCCTTTAGCCATTAACTTTGTTTATGGACTTACCTCAGGAAAAAACAGTATTCCAGAATAGTTTTCAAAATTTTGTTTTACATTATGCCCAACTATCTTCCATTCCACAGTAACGTTTCCCAGTCCTGGGGGAGTTCTTACAATATGGAATTGCAGTTGTTCTCCTGGGAACAAAGGATAATACACATATATTTTGGGTTTCCTCTCTTACACATCAGTTATTAAAATGAGAGTCAAAAAACATGCATCACAGTCAAAATATTTTTTCTGAAAGACATTAATATTTTTAATAATGAGCTTCACAGTAGTTATATGACACATTTGTTTTTAATACTGAAACAAAAAAAACAAACCTAAACTCTTTACTCCCAGGTTTTTTTTGTTTTTGTTCACTCTTAGAAAGAACTACCAAAATATGCGGGAACCTGGTGCACATGAATAACTTTTAGAAAGTAAGTGCCCATCAAAACATGCCAAAAGAGACAAGCAATACCTGCCTGTGGACTACACAAAACAGTAAAAGCTGTATGTACCAGCTATAAAACAAAGAGTTTTCTACAACGGCTAACTGGCAAGGAATACACATTTTCCTAGCATTTGCAGTGTCTTGTGGCTTTACATACTGCATGCAGAATACTGTTTTTAATTACTAGTAAGTTTCATTTATGTGAGTTTGAACCGACAAATGTCATCGGTGTTAGAAATGAAACCATTCAGAAAATGTTAATATTTAATAATTCCTAATTTGAAAACAAAGCATTTAAAACTAAACATTTATATTTAATAATTTATTCCTAAAAAACCAATTGCTTATAATTTCTGGGATAGTCAGTATCAATTGACAATGGGCATCTATAAGAAGAAACTACAGTATTATTTTTCACATTTATAACACTTAGGGCAACAAAGATGATTAGGGGACTGGAGCACCTTTCTTATGAGGAAAGGCTGAGGGACTTGGGTCTCTTTAGTCTAGAGAAAAGAAGATTGAGGGGGGATCTTATTAATACATACAAATACTTAATGGGAGGATGCCAGGGGGATGGGAGTAGTCTTTTTTCAGTGGCACCCAGTGATAGGACGAGGGGTAATGGGCATAAACTTGAACATAGGAAGTTCCATCTTAACATGAGAAGGAACTTCTTTACTTTGAGGGTAGTGGAGCACTGGAACAGGCTGCCCAGAGAGGTGGTGGAGTCTCCCACTCTGGAGACATTCAAAACCCGCCTGGACGCTGTCCTGTGTAACGTGCTGTAGGTGACCCTGCTCTGGCAGGAGGGTTGGACTAGATGATCTCCAGAGGTCCCTTCCAACCCTAACAATTCTGTGAATTCTGTGAATCATGGGGTCAGAGTGAGGCGGGGATGCAGGGGTGGTGGTTAAAATCTGCAGAGAAATAGTCACTGGCATAGGTCAGTGTAAGAGAGCCTGTGGTGGGGATGGCCCCTTTGTGGGGGCTGGGACAGCCCAAAAGGGGCTTGGAGCAACCCGGGCTGGGGGGAGATGTCCCTGCCCATGGCAGGGGGTGGAACTTGATGATCTTCAAGGTCCCTTCCAACCCAAACCATTCTATGATTCTATGTTATATCAATATGAAATAGATCAGCAGGTAAAATTAGTAATGTTATGCAATACATTCACAGTAGAGGACAGATGTTTATTTACAATATGTAAGTCTATTGTATCCGTATGTAAATAGCCGTTTTCAAATGTGGGGAATTTAAATTTGCCAGTATTTACAGTGTTGCATTGGCTTTCAAAGACACGAAATATGCAGAAATCTATAATACTGAGATGTTTGGAAATAATACTACAAGAGATTTCTTTTGTTTACCGAAGAACGAAGAAAACTAAACAAAAACTTGTCAAAACATATTTTGCTGATGCAGAAACAGAAATCTGACAAACTTAGTTCCACTCCAACTGACTGAAAAACTCTTTCTTAATATTGCTCTAAACTGACGTAAATTTTTTCACTGTTGCAGAACGTGGGAATAGTTCCATCTTCGGATTTGTGTTATGCACTCGCTTAGAAGTAACCCTATTGAGAAACATTGAGACACATCAATGAATGTGAAAAAGAAAATGTGTTATTATGTGGCCTCTTAATCTGTGGCATAAAGATTTGAGCAGCCCAGACTGCGTCTCTGATTATGTAATTTAAAAAGCATCAAGTTGCTATCTGGTTATTCGAGTATATTATATTGCAGCACAGTATTGTATAGCTAAAACTGGCAGGAACAATTTGAACTTTTTCTAGATGTGTTCTTGTTTTGGTAAGGAAATACTAGAGAGATGCATGTATATTGGCTACCAATGAGAGAGGTATGAACAACTAACTTCAATGGACTTTAGTGTAATTAATTAAAATATAAAATTGTAAAGAAGTAATACATAAATTGGATATACCCATTTTCAAATAAATAGAATTAATATGTGTTATTAAGCCTCAACCTCTCAAACTTCAGTTAAGCCTTGGAGATGTGCCAGCATTCATATCTTTGTCTTAAGTTGTTCCATGTTGCTTATAAGAGAATAAAAGAATTCAAAACATATTGACATCACAAGGATTCTGCTTCTACAGTTAGACATCTGAGGACAGACTGTCAGTTTACAGGTTCCCCTGAGGCTAATTTATCATATCGTTTAACACTGCACTGAAATCCATTCTATCCTATTTGTGAATTTTCCATATCCACTGCAAACAAATAAAAATTTAACAGGAAAATGGTTACTTTAGTACCGTTGCAGAATGCACAGTTTAGACAAAGCTTGTTTCAATACAACTTCATGAATACAATGAATTTTCACTGAAAACGGGCACAAAACACTTTATGATGCAGAAGCACTGTAATCCGAACACTAAGAAGAAACCTAAAGTACAATTCATCATAATTACGTACCCCACGGAGTTAATTACTGACCCATGTTTCTTGGTCAGCTTTACCAAAATCTTTGGTATCCCTATCCAGAAAGAAATACTAATACAAGTAGTATTGTTTTCAGAAGATTGAAAGGGTTATTAGGTTCATTTCACTATTTTGTTTTAATTTTTTTATTATTTAACCCTTTTATCCATAGATTTAGCTTCTACATGTACCACGGAGAAGAAGGGGTCCTGAGCTATCCTCCTTTTATTATTATTTCAAGCTACTGCAGTGCATTTTCCTCTAATACGGTCATAGCCACACAACTGTTGCATGCCTCTGCCTCTACTAAAATGCTACCCTTGCCCTCAAGAAGGTGATAGGTAATACGCACAGCCTGAAAATAATACAGATTTCCTTGACATAAATTGTTCAATAATACGACAAATATAAAAGATGACCATATTTGGATTTATAGCTGATAAATTCTGCTTTCAGAACAAAAAGACTTGATACTGAAAATTAAATACAAACACTGAAATCATCTAAAGGCCTTAGCTCATTCTTTCTTTTTTTTTTAATCAAAGGGAATTAGTTTGGTTGGTTTTCCTTGCTGTAAGATAATGCACTATTTTTCACAAGGTGGAGGAATTGGAATCAGGTAATTTCCAAACTGTAGGAGAGTATTTCAGCTCCAGCATTTGCTAGCATACTATGAATAATATTTAACCAGTGGAAAGTATTCAGGGTCATCGTAACTTTTGGGAATGAGAAAGTTTGTATTAATTCCTTGCATTCATTAACAGGTCTTCCTGGCCTGCCACATTGCAGCTGGCTTGGCAAGCAGATCAGAACTGTTAATGTGGAGAAATAAAGGATGAAAACAGGGCACACAATAGAACAGAATTAACACAAACCATATCTAGATAAAAACCAAAAGGTTATGATATCCTTTCATTTCTGGAAAAATAAAAAAAAAAAAAACCAAACCAAAAAAAACCCCCAGAACACGTTTGGTTGAGAAAGACTTTTTTCTTCAAATAGAAAATGCAGTGCACACATTCCTGGAGAGCAAATTTCTGTTTTGTTAAGTTTCCCCGACCATCAGTTTACACGTCAGAGAAATATGATATCTCAATACGTTGAGATTACAGCAAAGGCTGCCAAAAGCAATCACCGTTAGTACTATTATTATCCTGTTCAAAACTGCATCAAACCTTAGATCAAACACGTAACATGCTCTTTTAAAGCACTAATAGAAACCTGTGGTCCACACCAAATTATTATCGCTCTTTCTCAAATGTCATGACTGAGGGATGACAGCAAGATTGGTACATTCCTAAATTAGCTACCATAAAAAAGCATAAACAGAAAAATTTAAAACAGCAGGTTATTGAGTCAAGGAGAGGGCAGTTGTGATCCAAATCTTTCTGTGGGAACATTTTCTAGAAGATTTAAAGTAAATTGTAAGTCACTGATAGATGAGATCTGCTTACGACTAATAATAGGTGTGTAAGACAGGAGTTATGTACAGTTCTGGAATATGGTATAAATGAATAAGACAAGAAATGCTAAAAGGAGCTTTGAAATGCAATACCAATAGCAGCAAGGCATAATCTTCAGAAAAAAAGGAAAGCACAGATGGTATATAAAACCATTTGGGAAATGGTGTACTCATCCTTTCCATAGATTTCATTTAAGTGCTATGCGTGCAAGAGTTAAAAATTCAGAGAAATACATGCCAAATATGTGGCAATTCTCTGTTTGCTAGCATTCTCTGAACCGTGACGCAAACAGCCACCGTGAGTCATTACCAACAGAAAGCACGCAGATGGAAGCTAATGTTAAACAAACCGAGCGTGGTCAACACAAAGAACCCACCTTCACGACCAATAACAGATCTCGAGGCTGTCTGGAAGCTAATAATTCCTGCCACGTTGTCACTTGCCAAAATAACCACTGTGACGGTGTCAAAACTGGGCAAAATCCGACTGCCTCCTTCAGTATGGACCAGGCTGATTATGATGCTTTCATCATCCTCTGGCTCTGGATCATCTAAAATGGTCAGCGTGACCATCTTTTTTGTTTCCCCTACAAGGACAAGAACATATACATACTTATGTGTGCAAATAGAAATCACCTTTTCAAAAGAACTTCACTGTCTTCTTTTGCAGGAAGTGCCTAAAAATTATTTTAAAAAAGATATGAAGCATATTTATTTATTTACCTGTCTAGAAGTTACTGAATGTCATTATGAATTTTTATTCAATTACTATTGAAAATTATTTTAGGAGAATGTAAATATCAAATTATTTAAATATACTATGTAGAAATTAACAATGTAGGCATAATTTCTGAATGTCTAGAATTCTTTATCTGCATTGTAAGTTCTCCGACTTTCACATTTAACTTAGTAAAGGGGAATATCATACTTGTAAAAAAATTACCAAGTACGTAAGTTTTCTGATGAACCATATACACAAGTATGTAAATTCAATATAAATATATTTACTGGGCCAGGGAATGCATTAAAATGAGCTACCATTGTGTTGGTTGCTTGTCTTCTGGACTATCAAAGAACGATAATGTAAACAGCAAACACGATCAAATACCAGTCTCTATAATCCGTTACAATTTACAATGCAATCCTGTTGCTCAGTGCATGTGCGTAACCTGTGCTTTATGAATATGAGAATATCAGTTTACAAGATACGCATATTTCTTGCTACACTGTCTTTTAAAATATTCTGAGAACATTTTTTACTGAACTTAAAACCGCTAATTACATGTCAGCCTCAGAATCACTGCTGGCAACCATTCTTTTGAGTTCAGATGATTTAGCAAGCGAACTAGCACGCTACAATCTCTATTACACTCCCATAAATTTATTTCAAAATAACTGTTCAATCAACCCAAAATTTGAAAATACAATGTATATGTGTCATGCTGCATGGTACTTAAGTTATTTCTGCCATTGACTTGCTTGCAATTTTTTTTAATGCACTGTTAAGTTATGTTATGAAATCAATACAGTCTCAGAATCTAAAAAGAGATGCCATGAAAAGTTAGTACTGTACTGACTGAAGGTTAACAAAAGACCAGTTAGACCTTATTCTCATTTTCGTTATCTTTGATATAGCAATTTTCTTCAGCATTATTATTCCGTATTTATTTGGTAAAAAGGTAATCTTTATAATGCACACTGCCATATTTCTTTAAAAAAATACTTAGACATTTATGCTTTTCATCTTTTCTTTTCTTTTTACTACACCTCTGTGTGTTCTACAACATAATCCTATATGCTAATCAACTACGTTATTTTGAATATGTACCCTGAGCATTCAGCAAGGTTTAGCTTAAGAATAACACATTGCTTATCAAAACACCCAGAGGACTGAGTGCTTGTCAGATTCTTTTGGATTTTCTTTAGTTGTACAAAACAGAAGCTAGTGCAAAACCTTGCCTCACCTTCAGCAAACACCAGAATCTCACCGACACCTACAAAATCCAAGTTTGGGGTAGCGGTTCCACCAACCACACGCCATTCCACTGTGACCTGCCCCAGGCTGCCTTCCGTCCTGTGTATCATCAGCTGCACGCTGGTCTGAGGACGTTCTTCCACTTCAACGTACAGACCTTTCTCTGTCGCGTTGGGACTTACGCTGTAGATCTTAAATACTCCAAATGCATCCCCATTCATCATTATGACAACTGTGGAAGTATTTGGCTGTCCTATAGTTGGTTGATTTTTTAAGCTGGCTGAGACGTTCATGAGTTCCACTTTCAAAAGGGATAGAGTGAATTTCTCATCCAGCTCTGGCAGACTGTCAGGAAGTATGGTAACTGTGAGATTTGCAAACTCTTCCCCTTCCTGCATTATGGCCCACTGTCCTGTAATGGATTCATAATCACTGCCAGCGATGGCTTGTGCGCTAAAGAGAGCGGATGCGCTGGTGATGTTTTTCTTGTAGGTCCAGAATCCTGAAGTGTTAGTTAATGGGCTGATCTCCGCTGTCAGCCAAAGGCAGAGAGGAATCTCAGAGGCACTGGAAAATGTAAAGGCTGAACACGCTTGTTCTTTTAGGCACTGAGTCGCACAAGCATACAGTGGGTCACTTGTGGCCGACACATTCACTCTGGTCTTGGATTGTTGCTCGGGAATTCCTTGTGCAGGAGACTCGTAACAGGCCAGGATATCCTGACCTTGCTCAATGGCAAGAGTTACGACATCAGTCTCAAAAGTGCTGTAAAATATCTGCAGCTGACCAAACCTTCCCCCACTAAAAGACATTAAATTAAAAAAAGCAATGTTAGTTGATGAATTACGTCTAGTATTCTGTATGTTTCTGGGTTAAGAATAAAAGTGAACAAAATCAACTGTCCCTTTCTGAATTGCTGAAAAGTTCCAAATAGCTAATTAATAGCTCAGCTAAATAACTGAGCTGTCATTTTTTGTGGACAGCAAGTTTGATTACTTATAGCGTGGGTAGCAGTCTGTTAAGAATGCAAGTTTGCAAACGTTTGTTTCTAGGAATTAAATTAGTCTTCTTAGGGCTGGCAAGGAAGAAAAAGCCTGTGCTGCCCAACCTTGTCACCTTTCCTCCTAGGTGTCCTCAGGATATCATATCACATGCATAAAACCTGATTCCTTGTCCTTGTTTCTTTCCAGCCCACAAGGGCTGACCCATTTTGTCCTCCCGTTCAAATCACAGGAGAAGGCTGTTGTGCAGCTTTAAATGATCTGATGATTAAATATGCAAAATGAAATTTCAAGTGCATTGTGTACATTAGGTTTATGTTGTACATTACAGGTACTTTATGTACATTTCTAATAAGCAGACATCTAGTTCAAAAACGATGTATATGAAATAAAAATGTGTTGAGCTGGCAGATCAAGAAATTGATGCAAACACTTATACAAGATGAGCATGACATTTGAAATTATAGCTGAAAAAAAAAAGAAAAAAGAATAGATATAAATAAAGCAAACATCATACAAACCTTCGCCTGACTGTTATATTTGCAAGCAAATTTCTTTCTAGTGGCTCCTGAATTCGATATAAGGATTGATGAAAGAAAACTGTGCCATAAGGATTATCATTGGCAGGTATTATAATATTTGCCACGCCATCTAACCCAATAGCACCACCATTGGAGGCCTGAGTTAATTCTACGTGGACAATCTCAAAAAGAAAAAAAAAGAAAAAGAAATAATGCAGCTAAACAATTTTTGGTATTTGTAACAATAATCACATGCAAAGTAAAATCTGAACTTTTTGCACCTTCCTCCCAGAACATTCCTTGCTTTTTCTTGCACTCATCTCTATAACAAGTTAAAACTGTAATACTGTTCAAGAAAGACGTAACTGCTTTACTTACTTCTTCTATTTCTGGAACATCATCAGCCAGGATTTCCAGCAGCAACATCTGAATGGCTTCCCCAGGGGCAAAAGTAATATTGCCTGAGGCTACCTGCAAGTCAGCATCAGCAGGATGTCCATTAATGGTAGCAACCCACTGAAGAGTAACATTACCGAGTGTCCCAGCGTTGCGGATTATTGGCAGATTTATGGCTACTGATCCAAATTCAGGCTCCTCCACAGTGAATTCGGTAACCTGAAAAACTGCAGGAAAGCAGAGAGATGTATTTCATTAACAACGAAACTGAAAGTAAGTATATCAACTCACGAAGTACATCGTTTTATTTCACTTGCATTTACTTGCCCAGGTGAATCACTTTTAAACAGGTTTAAACTTAAAAGCAAACTTTCAGTAGTAATATTTTCATCTACAGAGGAAATTAGTATGAAAATTAAGCCCTCATACAAAAATTTTATTCCAACATACCCATTGTTCGAGGCTAAACATGAGCTGCTTCTAAACTCCTAAGAAGACAATTTCATAATTACTCCCAGCAAGGAAACTTTAATGGCTTTCATGTCACTTACTGAATAAATAAGTCAACATATTTCATCTAAAATTGTTTCAAATAAAAGTGTTCCTTGTATTACACTTTTAGTCTTTAAGAATGAAGTTAATTAATTACCTATCTGGAATTATTTATTTTTGAATTATTTTTTTTCTTTCTTTCTTCTACCTTCTTCTACTGATAAAGTGGACCAAGAGGAATTAAGATACTGAGGGGAGAAATGGGTAAGTCAAAGGAAAATGCAGGAAAAACACACCAAAAATCAAACAAAAAAGATAGATTTCTAAAATATCATTACATTTTTCAAATCACCAAAACCCTTCTCAAAACCTGTGTAATGAAACTTATTTAGAAACTATATGCAATTAATTTTATTGATAATAACAGGCAGAAGAAAAACTAAAGTACTTGACAGAAAATAAGAGAATTACTTTCATTTCTCTTCACATTTTTCAGTTTCCCTAGATCTTTTAATCTGCTGTGGTTAATTATCTAGCAAAAGAAAGATATCAAAGTATTTAAGCTACAGATATCAGAATTCAGATTTTGGCTTAAACCTATTGCAGAAATGCAGCACTTAGGTAAAAAAAAAAAAGTAAACTAAAATAAATCTATCTGTATTGGGACATTCCAAAATCTTGCCATATCAACTGCCTAAATAATAATTTTTGTTATATTAAAGTACCATTACTCTTTACAAGTTTTGATTTACTTTATCTTATCGTTTGCTTGACTTCAACAAGGCTTCCTCTTTGTCTTCGGAAAGTTTTTATTCAGTTGTCCAATAACAGCTCACCCACAAATCTGCAGTAAAAATGTTAACAGAAGAGAGAAAATATGCAAATAGGACTCATTTACCAAAGGATCCAAACGGGTCGTCAGAAGCCTCAATAATTATGATTGCTCTGGTCAAAGATCCAAGCAAGGCTCCTCCTGTTGTTTGGTTCA